TAATTTTTTTTGTGTAATCTCAAAGTCAAATGTCAATGATAGTTGGAAGTCTCGACAATTTGGGACGGAACTTCCGGTAGCCAGAAGTTTCGACGCAAACAGCCAGGAGTTCCGGCACCTACGAGAATAGCACTACAAGTGCTAAAGTGAACTTTGAGTGAAAAATGTCTTACAACCCCACTCCCTAGTGGTAAGATGAATTGTTGGGGTTGCTCCTTTGACGCTGGAAGGTCACCACTCTGTAGATCAAGTCCAAACACTAAGAGGAGAGTTGGGGAGGAAGACAAACCAACAAGAACAAATATGATAGCACAAATCACAACAACAACAAGCACATAGGACACAAGAATTTATCCCGAGGTTCGGCAACCCCACAAAGGAGCTCCTATGTCCTCATTGTTGAGGACCACAAAGGTCGGAGTCTTTTCCACCTCCTTGCCTCTCTCAAAGCAACCACAAAGGTCACTTGAGCTTTCCACTAAGAAATCAAGGGTAATACAAACTTCCCAAGTCTCTTCCACAAGATGGAAGCTCTTGGGCGATGCCTAGTCGGCTAGGGTTCTAAGAACCCAAGAGTAATAGAAGCAAATCCAACCGGTTTGATGAAGAAATCAAGTGCTCAAGCTTGCCAAAGTGATTCTCTCACTCAATCCACTCTCCTTTCACTCAAAACCCTAGGGGAATCGAAGATTGGAGCAAAAAAGAGAGGAGAGGGGAGCCTTGAATGCTTGGGAGCTATTTTGGCCGAAGGTTGGTGAGTAAAATGAACGAGTGAGTTCAGTTAGAAGAGAGGAGAGACCAATTTATACTCAAAGGCAAATCCAACCGTTTAGATCTGAGTCGGAAGTTCCGACACGGATGGCCGAAACTTCAGGCTCAATGCAAAACATTGTTCATGCAGATAGTCCACTAGGCTTGCTCGCATATCGTTAGAACTCCCGGCAGTTGCTGGGACTTCTGGCTTCCGTCGGGACTTTCGACATACATGGTAAGCCAGGAGACTAAGTCCCAAAGCGTCGGGACTTCCAATGGGAGCCAGGACTTCTAGCACCCGAAACTCCTGACTCTCGTTGGGACTTCCGACGGGCGAAGATGCGCAGGCGGCTAAGTCGTGAAGTGTCGGGACTTCTAGAGGGAGCCAGAACTTCCGGCACCCGAAACTCCTAACTCTCGTCGGGACTTTCGACGGGCGAAGATGCGCAGGCAGGTTGCAGCTAAGTCAACAAGCGTCGGGACTTCTGGCACCAAACGTCGAGACTTCCGACGGCCGAAACTCCTGGCTCACGCCGGAACTTCCAACTACCAAAAGTCCACAAACTATGTCCAAGTGGTCGTGAGGTGATTTTGTGTCTCTCTTTTGATTTTACTTTTATGCTTGAGCACTCTATCTTCCTCAGACCACCTAAACTTGCATCCCTCTTTATAGTACAACATACCTAAACCCAAAACAAAATAAAAAGGCTTTGGAGAGCGCTTTGGGTTCGTCCACTTTTTGCACTTGAAGAATTGAGGGATACCATTTCATCTTAGATCAACCCTTTTAAAGCTTTCAGGGACTAAAGCTGCAATATATCTCATTAAGATCTTATTAGTCCCTAATTTGGATGTCATCAATACACCAAAACCCACATAGGGGGCAAATGCACTTTCAGAAGTCCACAACTCATACCAAAGTGCAACTTTAACAACCATTAATAATTTTCATGGTATGACCTCAAATAAATTTAGAGTAGCACCACATAGATATATATAACTCAAACTAGAGTAGCAGTTAATGGAGCTATAATCATTACAATTCTAGCTAAATCAAGTCTATCCATCACACTTACAATCAATACACGAGCTCAGAGCTTCTTCCATAAAAGACAGACAAAAATTAAGAGGATAGCAATTACAACAGTTTTGAAGGCAGAAGCAATGTGCATGTTTGTTTGCCTAGATAGATAGGTATAATCAAACAAGCACTTGACAATTAACAGGCCTAGTTGCACACAGGCATTTATAGTAACAAAACTAAACATACGGAGAAAACCAAGACATCAGCAGAAAACCAACCAGTGACACCTCCTAGTTCTTTTCATTATCATATCATTGGCCTAACCAGATCTCCAATGCTAGAATGTTTCTTGTATACCTCATGTTCAAGCAAGGACCAAAACAGTGAAGCAAACAAGAAAAGACGAGAAATGAGACATACGGATCGAATATGTCGCCTCTACCACGGCACACAATGGACACGGACGCCAATGCCGCCACGCTCCACTGGCAAGCCCCGCTGCCTAGCCTCCAAAAGGACACCGGAGCCACCACAGCACACCGGGGATCCTCCACCGCCGCCGCTGCTAGTCTAACGGGCATAGATTTGTTTCCATTTGAAGGAGAAATATCCAATATAGATCAACTTGTAGGGCATCCACATAGAGAATATAATACTATAACGACTCTAAAGACATGTCAATACAACTAGGCATCTAGCGCAATGGTAAAGACCGTGCATTCCTTCCTCCGGGTCCCAGGTTTGACTCCTAGGCATTGAGTTTTTTTTAATTTATTAGACCCCGGTAGCACAAAAGGTACAAGTGACACGCAAGCCATCGGGTCTCACAGGTTGGATAGAGATAGAGAAAGGTCCCATAGGTCGGATGGCCCCATAGGTACACGTGACACGCAAGTCGTCGGGTCCCACAGGTCAGATGGAGATAGAGAACGGTCCCACAGGTACACGTGACACGAAGCCGTCGGGTCCCACAGGTCAGATGCTGAAGGGTCCCGCAGGTACACGTCGAACGAAGAGAGGACCGAGCAGAGACTTTTATGACGAATTGCAAGCATCATAGATGAGTAACTGCAGGTCCCACAGGTACACGTCGGATGGAGAAGGGTCCCACAGATACACATCGCATGGAGAAAGGATCGAGCGAAGACTTTTACGATGAATTGCAAGCATCACGGATGAGTAACTGCAGGTCCCACAGGTACACGTCGGATGAAGAAAGTACCGTGTGGAGATCTATGACGAAGCGCCGTTCATTACAGATCGAATATTGTTCATTACAAATGTGTAATTAGTTCAATGACGAAGCCCTGTTCGTCATAGTATTAAAGAAGATTGTCATAGATGAGTTGTGCGAGTGACCTGTGGCGAAACCCTATGCTCTTCTATGACGTTTTTTGTGACGATGCCTGATTTCTGTCATAGATAGGGAGGGTTGGAGGATCGTCCCCACTGATCTATGATGAAACGGAAATATTCGTCATAAAAAGCGATCTTCTATGACAGTTTTAGATTCGTCATTAAAATTTTCATCATAGAATTGGATATTTCTAGTAGTGATTGATGGTCATATTCTTTTTTAACAATAACTTTTGTCCTATTTTTGGAGTTTGATTCCGTCTGGGCAACCTGAATATCTTTGTCCTAGGTTTCACCTTACTTAATAACTAGATGTAGAAATACGATATAGAAAATATGTTGTAACAAGTACCAGACATGTTAATAGTCTAATAGGTTGATGCTTTTGATGATGAATAGTGCATCACAGGTTTAGTTCTCATCGTATTTTTTAAATCACAGACCATAAAACTGCTAGTTGTCCCCTTCCCATCTCCTTTTATCCGCCACTTCACCTCTCCCTACTCCGCACTGCCCCCTAGGCCACCGCTCCCTCGGGTTCCCACACCTCACAGGCCGAGGCTGCCCCCTCAGCCCCTTCTCACTCCTCACAACCCGAGGCTACTCACCAGGTCTTGCCCCATCAGCCCCTCCTCGCTACCTTCTTCCCCCAACACCAAGGCCACCGACCACCCCTCTCCTCCATCCTCCCCCGATGAGTAGGGGCCGATTTGTTCCTACCACACCGCCACTTGATGACCCCATCCTCCCTGTGTGCATGTGCCAGCATGGCCGTGTGAGCAGGCAGCAACGGGGTGGAGTGGCTAGCGGCAAGATCATCTTGGCCCCATTTTCGGCGAGAAGCCTCTTTCTCATTATTGTGTTTCTTTGGTTTATGCTTGTCCTATTATGGTTGTGTGAATGTGTACTTGTGGTTGTTATGTGAACATTTAGTTCATCTATAAACATGTAATTTGTGTTGATTTTTTTTTTTTGTCTTTGCTAAGACCTAAAGTTAACGACTAACTGGGCTAGGATGAGCTATCAGACCGACATGCATGATTAACCTTGCCTAGTGTTGTACGTGGGCCTAAGGTTGAGCATATGGTACGACACAACACGGCCTGTTATGCCATCTGTGCCAACCTGCAGCGACGGAGCCAGCGGTGGGGCTAGGGGCTCTAGCCCCCCATACCGATCCTAGGCACGTGGAGCCCCCGCCAAAGCTCTCCCTTAAAATTTTATGCATATATGTATTAGGTAGGAGGGACTAAGATTAAGAGAAGATAAAAAAGTCTCTATTCTTTTGTTTAGCCTCTCCTAAATTTTTTTCTAGCTTCATCCCGGCCAACCTGACCTATGCCTAAGCAGGCTCGTGTCGTGCCACACAATTGGCCATGCATCCATACTTTCCCGTGTATTAACATGTTCTCGGTCAACCCATCATAATATGGGTGGAAATACCATTATGGATTGATTCCTCCTTTTCCAATGACCATTCTAAATATTGATCATTCAACCAGTAATGCGTAAAGAGAAATAGAGATAGGATCCAATGATATAATGAAAAACTGTACATTCTTTAAAACGTGTGGATTTGACTTCCAGATATGCTATACATTCCACACCGTGCATACAGCGTTTAGCTGGAAAATAATTTCACTAGAAAGCTGGTATTAATATAGTGTCATATCCAAAGCATAACTTAATAACACAGTTAAAGAGCAAGAATGATTAAAACAAGAGTTAAGATGTCAGTGCAACTATAACCTACTACAACAGCATCCCAGTTCAAGTAGCTTCAGTAAAATTACATAATGAAGCATTAACGACAATACTAGATAAGTATATAGTAGTATCACAACGTGTTTCGATTGCAAGTTTCCAACTAAGGCCGGATTGCTGATAATGTGTTCCTGATGAATGACATGGTAGGCCTCACGGACGGATCTTCCTGAACACAACGGACACCTATATGAATGCATCTTTCAAACTCTCCTTTAGGAGCGTCACCAATTCTTGGATCTTTTAACTGATCAGCCGTTCCCTGGGTCCAATGTTGTCGAACCTTTGCCAAACATAACAAATATCCTAAGGTTCTCAGTGAGAAAATAACCACCCTTATGTAGAAATGAAACTTAGCATTACTATTTCAAAATCCATAACCTAGACGATGTCACTTTTGCTGATTATGCTACATGCAGCTTCTTTTAGTTCTATTGCAATTACAGTTGGATGGATGAGGAATGACGGTTAACTTACATATCTTGGGAAGTCATCAGCAAGATCTCTACAAAATGATGTAGCTTTGCTGCCTGTTGCTATCTCCAAAAGTACTACACCAAAGCTGTACACATCGGACTTCACAGAGTACTCGCCATAAAACAACTCAGGAGCGCGGTATCCACTGAGTTAAATTCATTAATTTGTAAACAAACTGTTAGTGGTCGATTCTGTTCATCACAGGTCACAAGAAAAACAAAGAGTTGAGAAACACAAAAATTTAGTAGCTACAAAATGAACTCACGATGTTCCCCTGAAGTTCTCAGCCTTCCCATCAGATAGGTCTAGATCGAGAACTGTTGCATGCCCAAAACCTGAAATTTTCGGGATGAAGCCCTCGCTAAGTAGAATATTACTAGGGTCTATATTACGATGAACGATTCTGCAATGCTCATGCAGATATAACAATCCTTCACAAATCCCTTGCATAATGTGGAAACGCGAAGACCAGTCAGGGACTCCACTTTTCTCATCTTCAGCTGCACAACTCAGATTCAGGACCGGTAATAAGATCAGCATCTCTCTTATACAAATATCTGTAATCGCATATAATGATATAAGGAATGCATACCGAAAAGAACTGCATCAAGACTACCAACAGGCATGTATTCATAGCATATCATGTTCTCATTATTTCCTATGCACGATCCCAGCATCCTTATGATGTTTGGATGGTCAAGCCTTGCCAGCATTTTCACCTCATTATTCAGCTCCATAAGTCCTATTTCCATGTTTAATCTTTTCACTGCCAAATCCGAAAAATTTGGTAGTATTCCCTGCACAGCGTCAAAGGTGCAGGTCAAATATTCATCCTATGAATGAAGTAGACTCATAATCAAAAGGGAAATTAGATACCTTGTAGATGGTTCTAGATCCGTTAGAAGCAATAATATTTTGTTTGGAAAAATTATTGGTGGAGACTCTAATAGTATCCAGGTCTAAATTCTTCTCAAGGGGAGCCGCAAGCTTAGGCCCTGGTGCATGCTCATGTTCTGCTCCAAACACTTCTGCTTTCACAAGATTTTATCAATGAAATATGTGAGCACATTTATCTAAAAAAAAGATGAATGACAAATAGTAAGAAAGCAGTCCACTTATGTCCGTGACGAGCTATCAATAAAATATTTTTTTCTGAACAATCATTGATAATTTCAGTGCCAATCTGTGTTTATTTCTTTTGGACCTGGGTACAGTAATGCAGCCAACCCATAAATAGCACCAATAGGGGTACCGTGATATCCATATACTAGCACGCAAAATCTGTGTTCATCACAAAGGCTTGCACGGAAAATGTAACTATCCATACCGGCACGGCCGCACTCAAATATAACTGGCATAAATAATACTCCATCTGTCCATCATCTGTGCTAAGCTTCTGCATTGGTGCCAATACACTAACTTATCCATGCCACCTTTGGAGCGCTAGATTTGACATCCGGCATGGACAAGGTTTTTTTTGTGGTGTTACAAAAATAACAACAGGAGATAACTTATACCTGTCTTCCATGATTCACGAATAATATCATAGCTGATTCTAAATAAGAACCATGGAAGATAATATTTTCACAATTAAATGTTTTGTCAATATTTTCACAATTAAATGTTTTTTTCTAAAAGTAAACAAAAAAATCATTTTAAATAAAAATTATAAATAAAACAGACATGATACTATTAAAAAATATGTCATATAACATCCTTCATAAGTGACTGTAACATTGATATACCTTAGGTCACTCATGTTTCTCACATATCCCTAGCTGTGCACAGTGTCACATTTAGAGTAACATGGCACAAATTGACATGGTCGCTGGGTGATGAGAACTGTTCTGGAATGTGCTCAAAGGGGTAAAATGCATATTCACAACCCATTATTGTTGTCCGATTTTGGTGTTTGAGGATGAAAGCTGGACTATATATGCTGATAGTTTCAGAACCAAAATTGAGCTTTCAACTAATGATTAGTAGAGAAGAACATGCAATGAATTGAATAGTTACCATTCGATAGTGGCAAATGCTTTTGTCGTGTTCGATGATAACAAAAACCTAGCAATGCAGAAATCACCAGCACCGTCCCAATGGTGGAAACAGAAACAATGATAGCAATGTTTCTATCTGTACAACAAACAGATGATCGATACTTAGTAAACAGTGTATATAAACAGTCGAAAATAAATGAACTGATTTTGAGTAATCACACAGAGAACCTACAACATATTTATAGGAGAAAATGCTTCATGTCTGATGTCTTCACAGAAATTAAAGATGATTCGTGAAAAAGAAAAAGGAACAAAAACATTTTTACAGATGTAAAGTTTATATATAGGAGGAAAATCAATCACTAATTAGTTATGAGGCAAATGCTTTAGCATGTTTCATTTGATACGAACAGGTGTGTAACAGCATAGCATATGGAGACCATGTAACTGAAAAATATTGTAAAAATAAATAAATAAATCATTCTGTGTTGTCTAAGTATGTTGCTAAAAATAATCCAATACCTCTATGGGAATGGGATGGATCACCATGAGAAATTCGAGTGTACAAGTCATTGATCCCTTCTGTAAGCTGAACAATATCTACCAGATCGCCTGACCAGGTCACACAATCACTATCTCCAAAAACAGTATAAGCGCTGCAAGAGCAGTTTCCCAAGCACAACTTCCTGCAGTCGTCCCATCCCTTACCAACCACCATGGTGGCATTCAGCGTGTCAGGCACCTTGACATGTGACAGATGGGCGAAACCATGACCCATTGGCCTTGAGCAAGGCAACACCACATCTCTCACACAGCCACCTGCATATGTCCTCTGGTTCCAGTCGCTCTCAGACTTGGGGACAAATTCTTGTAGGCAGTGGCAATCAGAGTTGTAGCACGCGGCATTTGGACCACAATACGCATAGGCGTCACATTGATCCTGAGGCAAATGCCAGTACTCGACCCACTCGTTGCTTGTGTTGCTGTGCCAGCGATGAGCATGACCATCTGGGCTGGCGACAAGGCGCCACTGCATCGACCGGTCCAAAGCAGTGAACGAGTAATACGCACTGCCTTCACCAACAGTCATGTTGTAGACCAACACATTTGTCATCTTCAGGGCGGGAAGACCGCTGAATCCCTGGCCGTTCCATGGCCCAGTCCTGTAAATCAAAAGAGTGCCCTGGAACAAGAGCAACTCAGGCAGTCTATTTGGATCGAGCCCAATATAGTAGTCCCCAGGTGACGGATCCAGATTGCTCTTCCAGGATCTGAGTCCCACGTTGTGACTAGTGGACATGTCATACCCAATCCTCATACCGGACAACAGTGTGTCGCAGGGCTGATCAAAACCTTGCCATAGTGGATTTGGGTTCTCAGACGCTGAGTCGTTGATGATAAGGTTGCCAGAATCCAGAAGGAATGCTTGTGGGCTGTTGGTGTTGAGTGTACCACTCGACCACACTTTGTTTCCTCTTCTATCCAGAAGGTCAAGAGAGCTCGTGCTGACGAAAACACTCCCATTGCCTCCCTTGATTGGCGTGTCACGGTTAGCCACCCAGACAATAGTTTGAGGTTTCAAGTAATTATACCATATCCCTAGATACGAGCTGTCCCCATTCGAGAAGAAGCCTAGCACAAAAGTACCTTGCGCTGAAACTAGTGTTTGCCCATTTACTAAAGACTGTCCTATGGTCAGCGAGTCATCTGGAACAAGATATTTAATTATAAAATTGTGAGACACAGTTATTATCCTGAAATATAAGGTACTGAATCGTTCAAAATTTATCATAAATTATAAGGTCATTCTTAGTGGAGCGTTTCGTAGCGTTGTTTCTAAGAATAATGTAGAATGCAATAAAACATGGATCAAACAATCATTCTCAATTCATAGTTTTTTTTATTTCATAGACATTTAATTATATGGCTCATCTAGAGTTGGAAACCAAGCCAAGAGCACGTCTCACTCTTCTTAAAAACGTTGTTACACTATCAAAAATGCTTATGTAGCAGTCTATTAAATGCATATGAAACTCTCACTGAGATTGACCTATCTATCATTAATGTCTATTGTCAGCAAACCATGTTCAAAATATAGTAAGCACAATATCTTCCCACGATTCATGGAGAGTTACATGCGTATTTGCTTTACCTTGTAACTGATTTTAAATTTTCTAAAATACCTTATATTTATGGATGGATTGAGTATTAACTATTTCTCCTAACCAAAAACAGCAAAAACATAAGTCACAACCACGGATTTGATAGTGAATCGAATCAAGTAAGATGATATTAATTTATGACATTACTTGTTAAAGAAGACACCTATGTCATCTTACCCAAACCCAAGAGGCCAAGACTATGACGGGTGTCTTCTTTAACAACCAAGTAAGATGACATTAATTTATGACATTTTTCTGAAAAGGAATTAAGTTAGGGTCACAACACTATATTTTTAGTGACAAATGAAATCAATGAGGCTAAACATGAAACATCTTAGACACTACATCAAAGTGTTGTGACAAAACAATTTCATCATAAGACTACGATTAGACAAAATGATAAAGTTTTATTGTCACAAAATTATGGCATGGATAAAACAAACATAGCTCACGAGTCAGATAGGGTCCCACGCCCGTGTAAGTATGAGGTGGGGAAATGCAAAGGCCCCCTATTACATACCAAAATAGTAATACAAATAAATTATAGAAAATAACAAAATAAAGAAGATGACTATTTTTTGCCATACAATTTTGTCAATCAAATTTTAAAATTGGATATTTTGGTCATCAAGCTATCAAGACCAAACAACTTTGGCATAAGATTGGTTTCGAAAGTGGTTTAGCCTATATATGTTTTTTAAATAATATGATTAACTCTTTAAAAGTTAATAGCTAATTCATTATAAATCAAAAAATATGAAACCGATACCAATTGTTTAAGAAATATAATCTATATATTGACACCTATTTAGAGTTCTTTGATCTTACTTGTTCATGTGGCTAGTGTTTTACTAATTGTAATAGTGACCTTTATTTATTTAACTTATCATTTTGCGCTATATTAGACCCCAAAATAATTCAATGGATTATGAGTATATGGAAGGTCTCAAAGGTGATGCCAACCTCTCAGGTGCCATGCTCCACCACATATGGTTCCTATGTAGGCACTGCATAGCTAGTGCTTTACATTATTTTGATCAATTGACTACATAATAGGTTTCAAATAAAGCAGATGCTCCAACATCAAGCAATGAACATAGAGTAAATCCCTAATAAATAATGATCGCGACTACAAGGAATAAAAACTAGCAGCAAGAATAAGTAAGATCTAAAAAAAACTCTAAATAGAGCACCAATAGATAGATTGTAATTTTAGAAAACTTTTGCTACTAATTTCGTATTTATTCATTCATTCATTCATTTAAAATGAATTAGTTATGAATATTTAGAGATTTAATCATATTTTTTTAGGAAAAAATACATATATATGCAAAACCAATTTGAAATGCGTCTACAGTTAAAGTTGTCTGGTTTTGATATTTCAATGGCCAAAGATATCTATTACTCCCTCCATCCTTTAATATAAGGTATCCTTGCAATTTAGGACAGCTTATCGGGCAAAACAAATAATGCATGTAACCCTCTCTTAACTGTAGAGAGATCTTGTGCTTACCATATTTTGAGTCTGGTGGTAGACATTAATGGCAGGTATGCATATGATTGGTGGTTTTAGGAGTTAATTCACCTAGAATACCTTATAATTCGGGATAAATTTTGAATGCTTCAATACATTATATTTCAACACAGAGGGAATATCAGAGTTTGATGGCCAATATCAGACTTAGGCGATAATTCGATAGCCAAAAGTAGACTTCTTCTAAAATAAATTAGCTCTTACTTTCCTCTGTTTTTGTCATGATTAAAGTTCACTAAACCCTCCCCCCCCCCCCCCACCCCACTCCACCCCACCTCCCTCCTGTTTACCATAAATAACCAAACGTGCAATAAATTTCCAAACATGGGCACATACCTTCGAAGACATCAAAGATAAAAACATAGACAAAATTCAGTTGACTACAGAGCACAAAATGAACTAGAAGAGTATTTGTACACATATATCAATCCAGGATTCCAGGTTCTAGCAAACTGTATACTGATAGAGTTACGTCTCTGAAAAAAGGGAAGGTGAGAGACAGAGGATCGTACTTAACTGCTGGGGCTGAGCGATAGTAGCAACGAGCAGCACCAACGCAGCAACGAGGGCGGGCTTCGGCATCGCCACCCCAGGCCAGAGGGATAAGCAAGCCAGTGGTTGCGTTTGCGTCCAAAAAAAAAAAACAAGCCAGTGGCCTAGTAATCAGGCAAGGTCCAGTCAAAGCACACTTTGTACTAGTTTCCTGCTACAGGGAGAAGACAAGAAAATTATCATAGAAGTCCTTTATCTCATGTGAAATAACAATTGCGTGCACCTTCACTTTCTTTTTTTTTTTCAAACCATCTTCTTCAGAGATTTATTTGGTCTCTATTTTGGAATGAGGTGAATTTATAAAAATCTGGCTTCAATGAAGAAGTTTCTACATAGATTGAAATTCATTTTATCTGAGTAAGTGCAAGAGGATTAACTTGTCATCTCACTGTATCTTGGACTTTGGCCTCTCATCACCTTCAGAACCTCTCATCACCCAACGGATCTGTATTTATGTGAAATGGTCTGTGTAAGTTTATGAACATACAATCATATTGTGCAATCTTTTTGTCCTTGAATAAAAAATACATGAGCTCACCAGAAAAGTATTTGCCATTGATGAGCACATGTGTTGAACCAGAGGTCTGATCTGAAGATTTTTTTGCATCCACTGCTTTTTTGATCAATGATTGATAATTGACTTGGATATTTTCAAGTATTCCAAGTCAATGAAAGCAAACAACCGAAATTGTGTTCAAAGAAACACGATAGACAACTACATGCACTTGAGACAAGGGTGTCACTATATCATGCAATTATTTCTGACCAAAGAATGTTGTTATTATCGAAGAGACTAACGAGCTTATTGTCCAAGCCCTTGACTTTGGCAACAGCAAATGGATTTTAACGAAGACACAAGGGCAACCGATGGGACAACTCATGATCAATAAATGTCATATCATAGTATACAGAAACACATTATTTATAGCAGCACTATTCATTTGTATGGACCTTTTTACCCCTGCCCACCAGCAAGACCCTTGGAATATTCTAACCTGACAAGAGGCAAAACGGTCCATTTACAACCAATAATTCAAAGCTCACTCAGATTTGACTCTTCAGGCCTCATCGCTGACCATTGCTTTGTTGTTTTCTCCCAAAGACCGCATTATCGTTTTTGTCATTTGACATGTGTGCCGAGAGAAAATAAATAAGAGAGTAAAATGTTTACAGTAAAGAAACCGATTTTCCCATCACAGAAAGACAACAACTAGTAGAAAACCAGTATGGACGCATTCTGCTTTTGCAACTTTTTAATATAAGATTCCAAAATGATTACTGAATGATGCATTTTCCTTTCAATCAGAGCATATAATAACATAATGAGGTATCGAGATGAATAGGAGGGGGCAGCAAAAGAATACAATCATGTATAGTAACTAGATGTTCTGAAAGCCTGTTCTTTTTTCCATGCATGTCATAAGGACGTAAAAATTTCACCAATGGAACCAAAGTGACTATGTCACAATATCTCAACAGCTTTGTGGTTATTTCCTGATCCTGGGATGAGCGGAAAATAACGAAAATAGCAGAGATCCTGTTTCGAGTAGCAGGGAATCATGTTATCAGCTATATCGGTTTACTAAAAAATGTAGAACCAACTCAAAACTGAATACGATAGATCTACAACATATGCAATTTAGTAACAAGTGGCCATCTAGAAATCATAATGAGTACTTATAATAGAGGAAGTTTCTCAGACTGATGAAGAGAGAGCGGATGAGATACTGACCTGAGTGTTCAGGAAAAAAAAACGTTAATGTTTGTCCTTGCAAGGATGTCACGAAGTTCTGAACAACTCCAGCTTCATTAGTCACTGTGCCTGTGAATTCTGCCGTGTAACGCATAGCCAGGTTCGGTCCTTCTCTAGCAAGCCTTCCTCCGAGACAGGGATATGCCAGTGACCTTTATCAGATTCCTGAATTTCTCAGAGAATTGATGGAACAATCATAAATACCTCTCCACATAAATGACACAAGACTTATGGACCTCAATGGAAACTTTGATATCTCAAAGCCCCGTTTAACAAGACCTTTTATCATTCATAATGTTCATTTTAAGTGTCTCAGTATCCGAGTTCATATAATCTATTTAGCTATAAGCTTATAACTCACTTAATCCATGGAATATATTCAAATACTAATAATTAAGCACCTAGAAATTTTTCTTAGTTTTCAGTCAGCTGTATCAAAAGAATATTGGAATGGATCTCTTACACAACTGATACACTATTTCATCTTAAACTCAGACCTGAATTACAACTGAGTATGGAGGTGGCATTTGAAGTGTGACGCAGCTGTCTTCAATACTGAAGTGTACCTGTTAGTGAAAACGATCCTGTGAAGAAAATCTGCGGTGAAATGCAATGAGATATAGGCTTATCGAGCAAAGGGAAAGTCATTTCATGATACATGTTTATGTTAGTCAAGCCATGATTCATGAATAACATAGTGCGTACAAAATATTAGGTAAGTGTGCTACTGCTCTGTCTAGTTTTGTCTTCAAAATCTCATGCTAATTGTACCTATTGTGTCTAAATATTCGGTAAAACATATATAGAACTAAGATATGATTTGATGGCTTTATAGTTTCTTAGTGGTGTATGAATCCATGACATGTGAAAAATTCTTTGTCTTCAACATGTTTAAATTTTCGGAAGAAAATGATTTATTTGCAAAAAATATTAGCTTTTTATCTGCACAAGATCAGGTCCAACAGTGGTGTAAGACAACGTTGTGGTAGAATATAGCAATAGTACAATTAGCTTCAACTTCCATAAATGAGAAACTTCTCTTTTGTAAAATACATGATCCCACCTGATGCCTTTCCTTCCACTTGGGGAAGAAATTCCTTTCCAAAATCTGAAATGTGTGGTCTCTCATTTCATCATTGGTAATGATCAAGCATTTGCATCTGATAGCAGCGTACAGCCAGTACCTGAACTACATGGCCGAAATACAATCAGGAATAATTTATGGACAGCAATAATAGGGGCAAGCAAAGGTGAGGATGGCAGCAAGTAGCAAAAACCACTCTGCAGGCACAATCGCACAGATAATGAATATAAGTGATCTATCAAGTTGATAACAGATAAGTTTTTCTCTTATATACACCTACTTTTTCTGAAAAACATAAACTGATACTTTTGAGGGAAATAGTGGAATTAATTAAGTAAATTCCACTGGGCCACCAAACTTGTTTGATGGTACCAAGAGGTTTGAACTAGTAACCCTAAACTGTACAGTTTTGGTCACCGAACACATAAAAGTCTTCATCTTATGTTATTACCAGGCTGGACCGGAATCTGAGGATAATCAATGATGAGGCAAAGCTGGATTAAAGACTAAAAGATATTAACTGGGATAGTGGGCATTACTTGTATAGGTATAAACATGGTAGCAGTTTAAGAGTTCTTAGGTGATCTACTTGAACCAACGGAACAAATTGGTGACTTTAACACAATTTCATCAAATGATTAATTCAATATGCAGAGGGATAGTTGCTGCAAAGAGTCATCCAAAATCGTACCAATCATCATTTGAGCCAGTAGGGGTTGCATATATTGAATTTGCTTGCTTCCACTTTTCTACCAACTTATGATGGCCAGGTTTTTTCATGCGTTCTCCAGTGAGATGCTTGTTATGTAAAACTATCAAAGGTCGTTTTCTTGACCTTTGCCTTATTGCATCAGCAACAGCATTAACCTGTCCAGTTAAACAAGGATAAGTGAAAAATAAGCATGCAAAAAAATTTCACAATTAGAAGAAAGAAGAAAATTTAGGAATATAGAAGAAAGATGTAGCACAATGTACATGCCTTACTCAAAGAAAGATGTCTGTGGCTAAACAGGCCAACATTGGCAGCATCCACGACTGCCTCAAAAGGCCCATGTTTTTCAAGCCATTTCTGAACATGGAAAAGAGGGTCCAAAAGTTAAATAGATGATTAATGAGAGTCGAAGGATAAAGGTGCTCCAAGAACTAAATATCAACAATGTGGACCTCAACTTCACACATTATAAGCACAAATATAACCTTGCATACAGAAGCTATGAGCTAGGAAGAACAAGCCAAATACGTATTTCTGACGCATGAGGTTCACAATTGAAGTCCTAACGAAATCATACTTGTCAATGATAGGTAAAATTACTTCAGATATGAAGGTAAGAAAATAATTACTTCTCCATGATAGTAGCAGGAAGCTTGCTGATAGATTTGATACAATGTAGAATTGAGACATTATAGATTATAGACAAATTTAACACACTGGTGTCATTTTTTCATTTTATTATTTACTGGATAATGTTCTGAGCATATATCATTTATTCAAAACCAATACATTCGTTTTATTTTTCATCTAAGGCATTCATCTGCAGTCATCCCAATCAGTGGTTTTGGAAATATTTAACATAATATAATCTGTTGTATATGCAAAACTCTTTTGACTCATGTGCAACCTGGTAAACCAAAATATAAAGATCGAGGTAGATAACCTGAAAGTTCTCAAAGTTCGAGTTCCTCTCTCTCTTGATAGCTATTTTTGCCACAAATCTGGCAAACTCTTCTGTTTCTTTTGGGTCAAGATCTATAATAGCCAGCTTTTCTCCACAAGCAAGGCAGACACCATTCTTGTTGATGTTTGAGCGTGTCACTGTCCATTTCCCCCTCCCCAACCAACCAAACCCATGCCAACCCCCTCCATTATTCTCAATAGCCTTCGCTATAGCACCTGCATCCCACTTTCTCTTCCCAACTTTAGATGCTGTTGGGATCCGAAACCAAGCCTCAAACAATTCAGCTGTAGAAGGGGATACCTGTCTGACAGTAGTCCTAAACTTATGCAGCAAATAATATACCTTGTCTCCGCGTCGACCAACCACACTAGCCCTGAGAAGTGTCTCCAACTCAGCTTCTTCTGGTGTGATTCCAGATTCCAACATATGGGCTTCTACTTCAAATGCTTTTTCAACATTACCACTGTTGCAAAATGCTGTTAAAGCAGGACCATATGAGCGCAACTTTGGCTTTAAACCCAGGTCTTCCATCTGTTTCACAATCTCAAAGGCCATGTCACTGTCACCCATGGACAACGCCATACGTGCCTTTGCAGTCAGAGCAGCCTCACTCATTTGAACCCTCTCTTTCTCTGAGCACATTTTCTCGAATATCTCAAATCCTCGTGCACATGCATACTCTCTGAGATCATCTCCTACTGGTATGCTAACTGTTTGTGCCTTCGAACCACCTGGAAGCAAACTGGCCTTGTTTTTCCCCAGATCTTGAACATGACCTTCAGATGCATCATCTCCCTCTGAACCTCCCAAGTTTCCACTGGGTAAAGGATCAAGTTTCTGTGAAGGACCAATACTGGCGATACCGCTACTGGTATTACCACTTTTTGCTGGCTGCACAAAACCAAGAGAAGCTGAAGAACACAGGTAAAGGAGCACATTGTAGTGATGCTGCCCCAACCTGATCCCCTCCTCAACTGCGGAATCATACAGAGCGATCGCCCCCATCACATCTCCTCTCTTGGAGCACATGTCCAGCTCAACTCTCAGCTTGCCTGCATGCTCACCATCCTTTGATCTCTTCATTTTCTTACTCGCGTTTCGTGTTCCTGTACCCTCATCTCTTGAATTTCCAACCTTTCCAGATCCTTTTGCCCGCGTTCCATTTCCGTCTCTAGTCGAGCGCTTCCCCTCCCTGGGCCCTTCTGACCCCAAACTCCGTGTCAGTCCTCGCTTCCAGCTCCTCTCTTGTGACTCCCCCTCCGCACGTTCTTGTAGCACAACCCTGTCCCCTTTCTTCCACGTCCTTGGCGCGCCACGGCTCCCTTCCCTCCACAACGGTGTACGTGCCTCCTGTGCCGTGGCGTCTTCTCTCACAGTTGGTCCGTTTGTGCCACGCGGTGCTCCGGTTTTGCCTGCTCTGCTTTCCTCCGTTCCTGGGGGCCTGCTGCCTCTGTTGGGCATTACGTCGAGCAGATCGCGGCCGTGGCATGACAGTGTACGGACAAGGCGCCGTGGAGTGACGACGGGAGGCGAGGAGGATGCAGAAAACAAGAGGCAGCGGTGGTAGACGGGGATAAAGCGCATGGTGGAGAGGTAGGCCATGGCGGTGGCAGAGCTGCCATGAGTTTCCGGGGGAAGCAAGTGGAGCTAGGTTTTAAAGGTCGTTGGGACGAGGAGATAAGGTTTCGCCACATGAACAGTAAGCAGTCCCATCCGATTTGTATGTTTGTCAAGATATATACGGCATTGCCGTCTATTTTAATAATCTAAATCTGCCGTTACAGTACATCTAAATAAATCAAATTTGATACTCCCTCCGTTATAAGACTATTGACTTTTCTATATATATTGTTTTCACGGTGCATATAGATATAGTGTATTTTTAAGTGCGTAGATATATTGTTTTTACTATTTCACAAGGGACATAAAGGGGACATCTCTTGTATATGCTTTTTTCGAACGATGTAGTGCTAGTTTATGAAAGTCGGACATGAGTGAATCAAAAACTAGAGTTATGGCGGGAGATTTTGGAGTCTAAAAGGTTTTAGATTCGGTAGAACTAAAACTGAGTATATGAGATGTGACTTCACACTACTACTTGGGAGGAGGAAGATATTAGTTTAGAATGTCAAGTAGTGCCTATGAAGGATACCTTTGATGAAGATGTTAGCCATAGATATTTAGGATCAATGTGACAAAGGGTACCATGAAGATAGGACAACGATTAGACAGACAAGGATATTGATGAAGATGTTAGCTATAAAATAGCATCAAAGCGATGTCCAACGTGGATAAAGTGAAACCAAGCATCTTGAAAATATGTAATATATCCAAGGTGTCCTATGTGACAAAAGGGTACCACGAAAAGTTATAAATCTAGAAAATGCAAAGATCTTAAAATGCAAGCTTTATGAATAGTCTTTTCTAAAATTAATCGTACGATTAGACTAGCCAAGACTATTATGTTGTATGGTGCAATTCTAGAAGACAACATGTGTACCATGCAAAGCACTAATATAAGCAACTAAGTCTCTAAACAATTCTAGACAAGGTCAACATGTTAGTACTGGTGATAAATGTTGTCTTGCTAACAAACTACAATGTGATGTTCAAGCCAAATTAGCCACGCAAGTCTAATTGAATAAGTAATTGCAAGCTTGTGTATGTTGGGAGGATTTTTCTCCCGCGGTCATATAAGAAGGGATCGAGTTCATCACCCGAAGCGATGATATCGTGATAGATTGGGGATAGCATCAATTCAAGAAAAGCTTGTCCAACACCGGTTGAGATGGTTTGGACATGTCCAACGATGCAACCTCACGAGACCTCCGCTCACTCACACAATCGAGACACTATCAAGTATATGTGTGATGGAGGTGTAGTAAAAATCCTAAGCCAGAATAGTAACGTGAAGAGAGACAGGGGAAGACCGAAGTTGACTTGAGTTGAGACAATAAAAGGAGACTTGAAAAGATGTAATATATCCAAGGACGACTTAGCTTTAGATAGGAGTGCTTGGAAAACAGCTATTCACGTGCCTGAACTTTGATTGCTTCTGCTGAGTTTTAACTCTAGTCTACCATAACTTGTTTAGGACTTAAAGGCTATGTTGTTGTTGTTATTATATGCATATAGACATAGTATATATCTAAGTGTGTAACAAAAGTTATAAATCTAGAAAAGGCAAAGCATCTTATAATTTGGAACGGATTCAGTACTTAATAGTATGTCAAACTCATCTAATATCTATCTAATATTCCATCCGTTTTAAATTCTAAGTTGCTTTAACTTTTTTTTTATATCTATTTCGTTATGCATCTACATATAATAATATGTCTAGTTACATAGTAAAATGTATAAGTTAAAAAAGTCAAAGCGTCTTATAATTTAGAACGCAAGGAGTATTAAAGAACTAAACGTTTTTTCGATCTCCTTTTTAATTTCCAAAGTACCCTTAATTTTGTCTAAGAGGCCAGGGACCGCAAAAAAAAGGACACACCGTTTACTTTGTCAGACCACTAAGGCCCCGTTCATTTGGTCTAAACTTTGGGACTGGCCCAAAGGACACACGGTGAAAAAATCTTTGTTACGAACCGAATTGAATTGTTGTGAGAGAAAACACCGTTCAAATTTTGGAAAAAACAAGCCGAACAAAGTCAAAATTAAAACAAGCGAACGGGGCCTGAAACACGAACGCCCGATTAAAATCAGGCGAACCATCTGACACATCCCTCAGGTTTCCTTTTTAGGAAAAAAAAAATAGTTTATGTATGTCTTTTTCGGTTAATCCATCCCACGCTCACCCCTGCAGTACAGCGTGCTCAACCGCGGAAATGAAATCTGTGTGATGTCACCGCTGATGTAAGCATGAAAAACGAAACTTTTATTTCAAATTGCTACAACTTCTGAATGGTGTATCCATTTTTTATTTTGTCTACACCGGTATGTTCTACGTGACGAGACAAACAAAATTAAACTCTACTTACATATGTTTTGAAGAATTATATTCTAGTAGCAAATTATATGTATTAACTTATAACTTATAATATATAATTTATAACTTATAGCTTATACCAAAACTTGAAATACAAAAGTTATGAAATACAACTTATGTACAAAAGTTATTAGACATAAATGAACGAATTACCTTATAACTTGTACCAAAACTTAGAAACACAAAAGTTATTAAATAGAAATAACAAATTAACTTATAACATATACCAAAACTCATAAACACAAAAGTTATGAAACATACTTATGTACAAAAAAGTTATCAAACACAATTTATGTACATAAATTATTCTATACAACTTAGATGTATAAATTAATATCATAACATATTAGCAGATATGTTGATAGCATACATAAAAGGAAAATCGATAGACTACTATAAAAGACAAAAAAAAAAAAAAAAAGAGGAATTTAAAAATAGCAATGTAATACATTATTAATTAATTAATAAAAAAACGTTCACGTATAATAGCACTAGTGCTAGTCTACAGCAGCCGCAACCACAAGTGCTAGAAAATAAATGGGAAAGAAAAGTCATGGGAAGGGACTAGGCATCGAGAAGGGAGTGAATCTAGATGCAAGATAGACCCCACCACGTGATCAGGTGGTATAAGTCGCAGCGGTTAGCCTCGTCAAAATGGAATTGGGTTTGCCCTGCCGCCGACAGAAAAAAAGAGCTGACACGTCAGTCGTTCTGTGGATGTACGTGCTTTGATATTTCAAAACTTTACTTCATCCGTCCCAATATAAACGCGCATTACGTTTCTCAAGAGTTAAACTCTTTTAAATTTAACTTATTATATAGAAAATAATAATTGTATCTTCAAATAAGTTGTTGATGAAAATACATTTCATGATATATATAATGATGCTTATTACATGTTACGAATATTAGTAATTTTGCGCATATATTTGATCAAACTTTAAAAAGTCTTACTACTCGATAAATGAGATGGGCATTTATTTTGAGTGGAGGGGTACATCTTTAATAAATCTAAATAACTTTGAAACGGTCCACTATATTTTGTTTTAAAAGTTTTTTTGCTAGCTTATGGGTCCCACCTGTCATACATAATCCACTTGTCTTTTAAGTCCTTGTCAACTTGATTTATTTATTTCTTTCGACTTGTTGCGTAGTGACAGTGCAATGTCTTTTGTTGTTTTTCCACTGAACCCGCTTGACGCCCAAAAGGAAGTTGTTTGCCCATTGCCGATCGTGACCACTGTCGAAATTATTCAGATCACTCCTATCACAAAGGAATGTCCAATTTATTCCATGTTCTGCCTTTTTTTGCTTCCAACACAGCCAAAAATGATCTTAATCTCAATGCCCGTGCAAAGCGTCCTAAGTTTAAAATGAACCAAAGGTATTCTTCGGGGTGTTACCAATGATGATAGAGCCATCGTGTACAATTTATAGGGAAGGTCTCAATTTTGGATTAATTAACTCTGAGTCCGGAGCATTCCCCAAAAGTTTATATAGAATTTTGTTTAAAGTGTCCAATTTCGACGCAGAGGGGTTAGCAAAGATGGTGGCATCCTTCTGTGTATAGCAAGCATCTTATTAGATCAGCCGTTTTGGAAGGACATGTTGCAACAGACCTTGTTCAGTCGCAAGTTCAATAACACGGAGGATGAGAGCATTGGAGAGAGCGGGTCTCCCAAGCGTAGACTCCGAGCATACTTATTGTTTTTCCCTAGTTGTCCATTAGTAAAAACCTTAGATGATGTTGTGCTCATTATGGAGGAGATCCAATCGTGCCATTTCCTACTAAAACCTAGTGCAGAGAGGACCTCGAGGACGAAAGGCTAGCTAATGGAGTCGAATGCCTTGGAAATATCAAGCTTGATGAAAAAGGCCGATTGTTTTTTCTTGTGTGATATTTGTATCACTCTATTTGGCATAGTGTTGAAGTTGTCATGCATGGATGCATCTTCTCTCGATGAATGCATTCGGGGCATTAGGGACAAGCAGCCTGTTCAGAACTGTTGGCTTGTTCGTGAGAAAGTATTGCTGGCTGGTTTGTGTAAGAGAAAAATATTGGTCCTGGCTGGAAACACCGTTCACGTGAACAGTGCCCGCATGAGAAGGCTGGCCAGCATCAGCCAGCCAGCCACTCCAGCCGAACAGGCTGAAGGCTGTTTAGATGCGGCTCCGACAAAGGTTTCAAACCCTAGAAACCTCCTCACCATGAATTATTTTTCAGCTAAGAGTGTGCTAGTTTCGATACACCCATGGGGAATGGATGATCCAAACAAGCCCTTAAATTAACACGTCTCTTTCAAGTCTGAGTTGCGCCGAAGCTAAGTTCCATAGGAGCACAATGCTTATTAGTAAGAATGCGACTCCTTCATGATAGTGAGTTATCGACTATGGAAGTTGATCTATCGGGTCACTATGGGCGCGTTCGCTGGTCTGGTAGCCGGCTGATCCTCCTCAACGAACACTGTTCATCAACGAGTCGCTATAGTGTTTCTCTCTCACAAAAACAGCCAGTTTCAGCTAAATTTCAGACCAGCGAACGGGGCCTATACCTCAAGCAATTGAAGTTCTATAGCTAGGTGCATATGCTAGTTTGCTTCATAGACAC